TCTTTCCTTTTGACAAAGCCCAGGAGTTCTGACTGGTGTGTGTTCTTGCAGGATGTGTCTGGTCCGGATGAAGCAGGAGGGTCGCACAGGGAAGTACATGTGTCGCTACATAGTCCACTGCATGTGGGAGGATGTTGAGCAGCGTGGTAAGGTCATGGGGGTAAGTCCTTTCTGGTGTTAATCTTGATGATTCCCATCTTTCATTTCCCAGAGTTACAAAGTGTTCTTGTAACTTTGCTTATCTTACAAACGTGCCTGAGAATTCACCTGTGGGAGTTTCTTGATTTTTTTTTTTTTTTCTTAGCTTAAGGTGTCACGTGCAGCCCTCACTGCTGCCCAGTCATTCTCTCAGCTGCTGTATTGAGCCACTGACCTTGTTTCTGAAAGTGGTCTGGATGTAGGTAGTGATTGGTCTGAAATTAATTAATTTCCCATGTGGCTTGCTATGTAATTGAAGAAGCAGATGCTGCTGTAACAGGATGGCCATTTGGGGATAGGAATAACCAGCTGAGGTGGGGAGAAACATGACTGATGTCAAATGTATAGCCACAGTTTCAGTAATTCTAGCAGAACTCTGATTGTTCTCTATGTCTAGAGTGCTAAAAGGAAGGTTAAGGGACAAGGTTTATATGTCAAGTTCCTGTACATGACTATAACTAGTCATGAGTGTATTTTTCATTTTGGGTTCTCAGTATATCTAGTCTTTATCAGAAAAGATAGTAGCTCCAGTAGCTTCATTTGCAAATCTGAAGAAAGGGCAAGGTTGGACCTTTTTGGCCTATTTTGAGGAAGGTTATGCTACTTAGTTGGAATCACTTAGTCTGTAAATGGATTTTTCAGCCCTGTATTGGTGATAGCCCTGAGAGAAGAAAGTGCAGAACCAGTGGAAGTAGGAGATTGTTTTCACAACCCCAGTGTCACTGTGGTGGCAGCACACCTGGTACAGGTGAGGCTGCCTGTCTTCAGGGCACTTCTGTGGGGGAATAGGGCTGGGAGAGATCTCCTATGTTGTGGAAAAGAGCTGTTAAGTAATTAAAGGTTTGTCTGATTAAAATAAATGAGTCTGCTAGAGAAATGACAGTTTTCATATAGCAGTAATGGCACATTGTCAAGCGTTAGTTGTCAGG